AGGACAGGTTAGGGAGGCGGGGACGATCTGGGCTGGTTTTGGGATGCGGTAGGGGGAGGGGAGATTTTGAAGCTTGTGAAGTCCACATTGATACCATTGGGCTGCAGGGTTCCCAAGCGGAATATGAGCTGCTGTTCCTGTAACCTTCCGGTAGCATCGTTGTGGCACTGCAGGAGGCCGAGGATGGACATGTCATCTGAGGAATGGGAAGGGGAGTTGAAATGGTTCGCGACTGGGAGGTGCAGTTGTTTAGTGCGAACCGAGCGTAGGTGTTCTGCAAAGCAGTCCCCAAGCCTCCGCTTGGTTTCCCCGATGTAGAGGAGGCCACAACGGGAACAGCGGATGCAGTAGACCACATTAGCAGATGTGCAGGTGAACATCTGCTTGATGTGGAAAGTCTTCTTGGGGCCTGGGATGGGGGTGAGGGGGGAGGTGTAGCACTTCCTGCGGTTGCAGGAAAAAGTGCTGGGTGTGGTGGGGCTGGAGGGGAGTGTGGAGTGGACAAGGGAGTCCCAGAGAGATGGTCCCTCCGGAAAGCAGCTAAGGGTGGGGAGGGAAAAACGTCTTTGGTGGTGGGGTCGGATTGCAGATGGCCGAAGTGTCGGAGGATGATGTGTTGGATCCGGAGGTTGGTGGGGTGGTACGTGAGGACGAGGGGGATTCTGTTTTGGTTGTTATTGCGGGGAGGGGGTATGAGGGATGAGTTGCGGGAAATGCGGGAGACACGGTCGAGGGCGTTCTCGACCACTGGGTGGGGGGAGTTGTGGTCCTTGAAAAATGAGGACATCTGAGATGTACGGGAGTGGAGTGCCTCATCCTGGAAGCAGATGCCGGGGAGGCGAAGGAATTGGGAATAGGGGATGGCATTTTTGCAGGAAGGTGGGTGGGAGGAGGTGTATATTAGGTAGCTGTGGGAGTTGGTGGGCTTGAAATGGATATCGGTTTCTAGGTGGTTGCCAGAGATGGAGACAGAGAGGTCCAGGAAGGAGAGAGAGGTATTGGAGATGGTCCAGGTGAACTTAAGGTTGGGGTGGAAGGTGTTGGTGAAGTGGATGAACTGTTCGAGCTCCTCGTGGGAGCGCGAGGCAGCGCCGATACAGTCATCAATTTAACGGAGGAAGAGGTGGAGTTTAGGGCCAGTATAGGTACGGAAGAGGGATTGTTCCACGTAACCTACGAAGAGGCAGGCATAGCTTGGGCCCATGCGGGTACCCATGGCCACCCCCTTTGTCTATAGGAAGTGGGGGTAATTAAAAGAGAAGTTGTTGAGGGTGAGGACGAGTTCGGCTAAGCGGATGAGGGTGTCAGTGGAGGGGGACTGGTCGGGCCTGCAGGACAGGAAGAAGCGGAGGGCCTTTAGGCCATCTGTATGGGGAATGCAGGTGTATAGGGACTGGACGTCCACGGTAAAGATGAGGTGTTGGGGACCAGGGAATTGGAAGTTCTGGAGGAGGTGAAGGGCATGGGTGGTGTCATGGACATAGGTAGGGAGCTCCTGGACCAAGGGGGAGAAAATGGAGTCGAGATAGGTGGAGATAAGTTCGGTGGGGCAGGAGCAGGCGGAGACAATAGGTCAACCATGGTAGTCAGGTTTGTGGATTTTGGGAAGGAGATAGAAGCGGGCGGTGCAGGGTTGGGGAACGATGAGGTTGGAGGCTGTGGGTGGAAGGTCACCTGACGTGATGAGGTTGTGGATGGTTTGGGAGATGATGGTTTGGGAGATGATGGTTTGGTGGTCAGAGGGTGGGGTAATGATCAAGGGGGCAGTAGGAGGAGGTATCGGAGAATTGGCGCCTGGCCTCGGCGATGTAGAGGTCAGTGCGCCATACTACAACTGCTCCTCCCTTGTCCGCGGGTTTTATGGTGAGGTTGGGATTGGAACAGAGGGAGCGGAGGGCTGCACGTTCTGCAGGGGAGAGGTTGGAGTGGGTGAGAGGGGTGGAGCGGTTGAGGCGATTGATATCTCGACGGCAGTTGGAGATGAAGAAGTCGAGGGAGGGTAGGAAGCCTTGGGGTGGTGTCCAGGAGGAGGGGATGTGTTGGAAGCAGGAGGAAATAAGCTTGCAAGGCCGTAGGGCTTTGAAGGGTGGGTGGGGCAAACTGGTTGTAAATTTACTGCCCCTTAAATCCTGACCATGTTTGATAGAAATCCTATAATTGAGAACGTTTAGAAAGAGGCCATCCTTTTCGCTCGGCGAAAACATACGTGAAGCTGAAAGAGCAAATAGTGACAATATCTTTGGAGAGACGTATATACCTGAACCAACCTTTCATCACTGGATTCATTTCCTGCACCTTGAATTGCTGTAAGTGAACAATTTCTTCCCTTCACTCCCTTCCAGGATGAAGAAAGAAACTGAAAGGGGCAAGTCGTTGCTTTGCTCCCAAATGTTGCACAGAATGGGAAGATTCACTCTGATTCTCATCGGACAACTTCCGCATTGTGACGTCCTTTTCCGGGATTGGGCTTGCCTGAAGCAGCCAATAGGAAACGCAGCGGATACAGGCGCCATAGCCCCTCGATAACTCACCTCAACCTTGAACCAAGGTTTCCACGGCAACCGGCTGCGGTTCGGGCCAAAGCGAGATGCCGCTTGGGGTGCTGCTATTCCCTTCACGCAGGCAGTTCACGGACCAATAGAAGGAGCGGACGACACCAGCGGACAAATTGGAAACGGCTGGTCCTCCAACCAATGGGAATGAATGAGGTGCGGGGCGAACCAGATGACACGTGATCAGTTACGCTGCCCGCATAGTGCCGCTGTGAGGCCTGAGTGAGTGCGGGCGTGGAATACAGGAAGGCGGAAAATCAGCGGCCACCAGGAGAAAAGTGGAGTCGGTCTGGACTGAGAGGTTTTATGAATACTCGGTGTCGGCCACTAGACCCGAATTAGAAACTCGCGTTTGTAGCAAACGGAAAAATGGCTGCGGGCCTTAGGCGGTGATTGGCACCGGATAGTCCGCGCCATCTTTATTCGGGGCAAGATCCAGCAGCGCCCATGCGCATACTTCTTGAATGGGGTCGGGGCGATTTGAAGAGGAGCATTTACACAGCAACCGAAACCGAGAGAAACGTTTGTCTTTTCCAGATTTTTACCCTGGACTGATAGTGATTTTTCTTCTGTGAATTCGTTTTACAGGTTATTAATTAAGAAGAATTTGCAGACCGGGATCTCAAGCCAAGTTTTGATAGTCAGAGGAGTCATCAGGATCTGAATATCATTGGCGCTTAACTGTGGAAGGAAAAAGGTTTGTCTGTCCTGTCTTTGGAAAAATACCTCCGAGATGTTTTTTCAGTCGAAAAGTAGCAAAATATTAAGACGCGTGGTTAGATCACCCCGGGTATGTTCTCAGTCTGGGCCCTGCAGCTGCTGAAGGAGATATTGGCATGAAAGGGAGCACAGATTTATCCAAATTACGCCTTGTCTCTTTGAAAGAACTGCCGTATTTACTACCAGTCACCCATTTCATGCTATTAAGCTATGCACTTTAACCTATCAATTCCTCAATCTCAAACCTTTTAAAACTCCTTATCGACTCGAATTCCAATACCATTTCAGGTGGATACTAGGAACTGCAGATGCTGGAGAATCTGAGGTAACAAGGTGTAGAGCTGGATGAACACAGCGGGCCGAGCAGGAAAGCTGACGTTTCGGGTCTAGACCCTTCTTCAGAAATATTCAGAAAATCTTCAGGAAAAATTTCTGAAGAAGGGTCTAGGCCCGAAACGTCAGCTTTCCTGCTCCTCTGATGCTGCTTGGGCTGCTGTGTTCATCCTGCTCTACACCTTGTTATCTCACCTTTTCAGGCAGAATGTTCTAGATCCTGACAACTTTGTTGATCTTGAAACTGCTGCAGTCCATGTTGAGTCTGGAGAGTTTCAAAGGACTGAATTGAAAGATGAGATGCTGTTCGTTGAGCTCCCATTGAGCGGCATTGGAAGAGTACATGAGGCTGAGGTCAGCGTAGGTGAGAACAGACAAAATGGCAAGGCTGCACTGTAAGTGCTACTTGGCTCAATGAGTGTGTTTTGGAGTTGGATGAAAACAGAGATTGAGGTGAGACAAGGAGAACTTAAAGCTGAAAGATTGAGTCTGATGCTCAATCTCAGTTTAGGCAGTTCAGAAAGTGATAAGTCCTGATAGGAACAGCCAATTGGTAGGTGCCACCTGCAGATTATTTTCTCATAATTTTTGAAGTATAATATATCACCTTAAGTAAATGATTGTGATTATAATAGAAGTCTTTGAAATAAAGGAAGATCCCTAGCTCATTTAAATTCTCTTAAACAGAGTAACTGGCTTAATCTAGAGAGAAGTCATGACAGAAGACCTCAGACCCATAGTGTCCTCCACTTGCTCAATGTTGGAAATAAGGGAAGTTCCCTGTATCCCTGATTGCTACGTGTACAGGATGGGTACTGACGACATTGCTAAACAAAGGTACGAGGACCTGAAAACTGAATATAGGAAGATAGGAGATACATTACATGCAGGACCTCAAATGTAGTAATGCCAGGCTTATTCCAACTGCCACATGCTAATGAGAGCAGGAATAAGAGGATAGATTGGAGAAATGTGTGCCAGAGAAGGGTTTAGAGATTCGTGATGCATTGGGACCATTTCTGGGGAGCATGGGACCTATACAAGTTCGATTGATTAACCTCTGGGCAGAGCTGGGACAATTCGCTGAATGGGGCTTTTGCTAGTGTACTTGGTGAGGTTAAAAATTAGTATGGCAGGGGTGTGGGAACCGTAGTGTAGGCTTAGATGTGTCAGATTCAGATCCAGAATTTGGAGGTAGAATGTTAATTAGTGATGCAGTCTGCGGCTCAGAAAGACTAAAGTAGGATTATATGAGTATCGAGTCTCTCTTCATACATCATTCTTGACATCCTAGGAATCAGTCTAGTGAACCTTCTTTACACTATCTCAATGGCCAGGGCATCTTTCTTGGGAAAGGAGAACAAATGTGCAAACAGTACTCCAGGTATGGTCTCACCATGGCCCTTACAGAAAGATATTCCTGCTCCTGTACTCTAATCTTCTCACTGTGAAGGCCAACATATCATTTGCAATCTTCACTGCTTGCCACTCCTGCCTACGTACGGCATAAAATTGTTGAACACAATGTCCCCGTTGTACCTATGCTGGTCATCAAGCACCTATTTACTCTAGTCCCATTTTCTGGCACTCAGCCTGTGACCTATATTGTGGTGCCTTGTATGATCATCTAAAAATTTCTTCAAGGTTGCAATGGTTCCTGCATCTGTTAGCATTGCAGATGCTACTGAGCATCTCCAGCATTATTATTTTGGATTTCTACTATTTTGTTTCTGTGCTTGTTCTTACCCTACAATCCCTTTGAAGGACTATCGGGAGAAAACAGGAACTGGATTGATCTGCAGATCTGTGAAAAGCCTCTCCTGTTCCTCCTCCTGGCTCTTCCATCTCTAGACCTTTCCATAGTTTTGTGCAGACACTGACTGATTCCCTTCTCTCCCTCTCTATTTTAGTGTTCTGTCTGAAAGGTTGATTTGCAGATGATCCACATCCAGATCTGACAGTCACTCTGTTTACCATAACCTAATTATCTCAGGATTTTGAACATTGAAGGAAAATCTACCTTTCACACTGGCAAGAAGCACGTATCGTCTGTGTGTGGGAGAGTCTGTGAAAATTCATTTGAAATGTCCAAACGCCAGCACAGTCAAACTAGGGAGAGAATGTTGAAATGTGTGGATTGCGAGAAGGGCTTTCTTTACCCATGTCAGCTGGAAATTCACCAACGCAGTCACACTGGGGAGAAGCCGTTCACCTGCTCTGATTGTGGGAAGCAATTTGCTCGATCGTCTGACATGTTCAAACACCAGCGAGTTCACACAGGGGAGAAACCATTCATCTGCTCTGATTGTGAGAAACGATTCAGTCAGTCATCCGAACTGCTGAGACACCAGCGAGTTCACACTGGGGAGAAACCATTCACTTGTTCTGAATGTGGGAAGGGATTCAGTCAGTCATCCAGTCTGCTGGAACACCAGCGATTTCACACTGGGGAGAAACCATTCACCTGTTCTGAATGTGGGAAAGGATTTGCTCACTCATCTAACCTACTAATACACCAGCGAGTTCACACGGGGGAGAAACCATTTACCTGTTCTGAGTGTGGGAAAGGATTCACTCGATCATCAAACCTGCTGATACACCAGCGGATTCACACTGGGCAGAGACCATTCAATTGCTCTGAATGTGGGACAGGATTCACTTGCTCATCCAAACTGTTGGTACATCAACGAATTCACACAGGAGAGAAACCATTTACCTGTTCTGACTGTGGGAAGGGATTCACTAGGTCACCCAGCTTGCTGATACATCAGCGAGTTCATAGTGGACAGAGACCATTCACTTGTTCTGAGTGTGGGAAAGCATTCACTCAGGCAACTCACCTGCTAATTCACCAACGGGTTCACACAGGAGAAAAACCATTCACCTGCTCTGACTGTGGAAAGGGATTCACTCGGTCATCCAACCTGCTGATACATCAGCGAGTTCACTCTGGGGAGAGACCATTCACCTGTTCTGATTGTGGGAAGGAATTCACTCACTCATCTAATTTACTGATGCACCAGCGAGTTCACACTGGGGAGAAACCATTCACCTGCTCTGAGTGTGGAAGGGGATTCACCCGGTCATCCAACCTGTTAACACACCAGCAAATTCACAAAGAACCACAGTTTTGAAAGATTTTGTTCTTGATCACATCAAGGAATGAACCGTGGTCTTTGGGCCATTTGTACTGATGTTATTAATCCTTGCTCAATCAAAGGTGCTGAAATTGTAGATGAAATGTTCATAACAATCCTGCTATGTTTTGGAAATGATCACATCATCGCTGTGCGTCAAAACATCGCACTGGGTAAAGACCGTCCACCTACAATGTGTGAAAAGGGATTTCCTGGTTTATCAGGGCTAGTTAAGCACCAATGAGTTTCTAACTAACTGTAGGAATTGGCTTTTGATGCTCCTGTTACATATATCCTAACAATGGTTTCTGTGCCTGTTTCTGATGATGCTTGTAAACACCACATGTCTGCTCACCTAGGAGAAAACTGATACAAATCAACTTCTTGTTAAAAGTATTGTGCATTGAGTCTTTATCTTATCTGTAAAGCAGACACATTTATTTAGATGGGATCTTCATCTCCCTTATCTCCTCCATCCTCACCTCCAACAAGTATGGGGACCTTATTGAGTTTTTCTCCAATGCCAAGTGAGAAAGTCAGTATGCTTTAAATGAACACAGAAAGAAATGCGGATGCTGGAAATCAGAAACTGCTGGAAAATCTCTGCAGGTCTAGTGCCATCTATGGCAAGAAATCAGTTGAACCTATTGAGCTTCTAGAGTTCATAGAATCCCTACAGTGCGGGAACAGGCCCTTCGGCCCAACAAGTCCACACTGACCCTCGGAGCATCCCACCCATACCCATGTCCCTAATCTACACATGCCTGAACACTATGGGCAATTTAGCACGGCCAATCCACCTAGCCTGCGCGCCTTTGGACTGTGGGAGGAAACCCACGCAGACACGGGGAGAATGTGCAAACAGACAGTCGCCCGAGGCTGGAATCGAACTGGCTCCCTGGTGCTATGAGGCAGCAGTACTAACCACTGAGCTGCCGTGCCGTGCCTTTCCAGCAATTTCTGTCTTTGCTTCCCATGAATAGTGGGGAGAAGGCACATACCAGAGTGAGGGACAGCCCGTAATGCTCCTTAGCGCTTGAAGCCCACAGCTGTTTTCACGTTTGCTGCAAACGCGGGACCAGGAGTTTGTAATTCGGATCTGGCCTGCACTGGGTGTTTATAAAACCACCCAGTCCAGACTGACTACCTTTCAACCCCCAGTTTCTGCTGTATCTCCCCAGGCAATGGTCATGTGTCATTCCGCTAGCCCCGCCCTAGCTCATTCCCATTGGTTTGAGGACCAGTCTCTCTCCCTTTGTCCGCCAGTCTCACCCACTGTCCTCCTATTGGTCCGTGAGCTGGCGTCAATCAGCCAGGACCCATTGTGAGGTCATAGGTGGGACCCTTCCCTCTGTTCTGGGACCAGCTTCATCATTCACAGTGAATGACACGGTGTCGCAGAGCGCAGTGGCTGGTGGCTATTCAGCCCATTGGGGCTGTACTCTCTCATTCAAGAAATGCTGCAAATCTATCCCAACTCCTCAGTTATTTGCCCAGAGCCCTACAACTCTGTGTCCTTTTTCCCCCTCTTGGGCTCCTCCTCCTTCATTCATCATAGAATCCCTACAATGTGGAAACAGGCCCTTCGGCCCAACAAGTCCACACTGACCCTCAGAGCACCCACCCAAATCCATCCCCCTATAACCCACCTAATCTACACATCCCTGAACGCTACGGGCAATTTAGCAAAGCCAATCCACCTAACCCGCACATCTTTGGACTGTGGGAGGAAACCGGATCACCCGGAGGAAACACACACAGACACGGGGAGAATGTGCAAACTCCACACAGACTGTCGCCCGAGGGTGGAATCGAACCCGGGTCCCTGATACTGTGAGGCAGTAGTGCTAACCACTGAGCCACCGTGTTGCCCCATCCAAAGAGTTGAGCTTCCTTTAAGCACCGTGAGCACCCCCTCACTCCCACTCATTCACTAATCAGCACATATGCCATCATTTCATAGTTGCTTTCAGTTCTGACGAAGGGTCACTGCATTGGAATCCTTATCTCTTTTTATATGACAAATGCTGCCAGACCTGCAAAGTTTCTCCCGTGATTTGTTTGTTTCAGATCTCCAGCATCTGCAGTTTGTATAATTTGCACTGTAAAGCTTTCGTTATTAAGTTACATTCCAAATCAGTATTAAGAACGACAGCTGAATCTGCTCACACTTATCATTCAGTCTGTTCCAGATCCCCAGAAGTCACTGAGTAAAATAATCTCCACCTCTTTACCCTACATTATGTACCAATTATCTGAAAGCTGAATTCTGTTGTTACCAAGCATTCTGCCAATGTAAATAATTTCTGTCTCTGCAGGCGAAATCTTCTAGAAATAAGTTGAATTAATTGATGAAATCATTGCTTAACTTTCTCAGCTCCAAAGAGAATTATCCAAGCTTCTACAAACATACCGCATATCAGAAAACCCTCAATTTTTCTTCATTCATGGGATCTGGTCTTCGTTGTGTAGATTAGTATTTATTGCCCATTTTTACTTGCCCTGAAGAGGGTGATGGTTAGCTGCTTATTGAAATGCTGCAGTGGACATGACGTAGGTACACCCACCATGCTTTCAGGAAGTGTGTTTTGGTATTTTGACCCCATGATAGGAAATTAATTTAAATATATAATGGTAATTACAGTGATAGGGACGTGATGGCCTAGTGGTATTATTGGTAGGTTGTTAATCCAGTAACTCAAATAATGTTCTGGGGACCTGAGTTCAAATCCCACCACAACAGATGGTGGAATTTGATTGCAATACAAAAACAAAATCTGGAAGTAAGTATCTACAGATGACCATGAAACTATTGACAACTGTTGTTAAAAAATCTTCAGTGAAGGAAACCTGCCCCCTTCACTTGATTTGGCCTATATATTACCTCCAGACGCAGAACAATGTTGTTGACTCTCAACTGCTATCTGAGATCACGTAGCAAGTAGTGCTAGACCCAGGCAATAAATGCTGGCCTGCTCATGATATCCCATGAGTGAAGTATATTTAAAAAAAAGTTCCAACTCAAGATAGTGTGTACATGGGGGTGAGAGGTAGTTGTAAGTGGTGATGTGCCTGTGATTCTGTGCCCTTGTCCTAATCAATGGTAGAAGTTGTGGATGTAGAAGGTGCTGTCAAAGGAGAATTGATGAGTTGTTGTAGTGCACTTCATAGATGTTACACACTGTGCTTCGCTGGTGGAGAGAATGAACATTGAAGCTGCTGGATGGGATAGCATTCAAGTTCATTGCATTGTCCTTGATGGGTTTGAGAATGGTGTTTTTATTTATTCCTTTTATACTTGTAGATTTAACTATCCTAACACACTCTCAGGTGGCCTCCCTGTAATCTCAAGCTCATCCAAAACTCCATTGCTTCTGTTCAGACTCTCACAAAGTCTTGTTCCCCCATCATCATTCTAAACTTCGAATAGGACAGCAAGATATCCAGTGAAATTAAACACGGAGAAGTTAAAAGAATGACTCCTAAAAGTAAAAGCTTTTCTAAATTGGAAGGATTAAAGAATTCACAAGCACAGTAAAGACCCAGTGGAAACGAACAGTAAAGAGATGGGAGATTCTAGCTGATACCCTGTCTGATTGCTCACCAGTTTTGACAGCCCATTTGTCAGTTTTTGTCCTTTCCACAAATGTTGCCTGACCTACTAATGTTTCTGCTGTTTTTGTGGGTGTGAATAAAAGCGGCAAATAGTCAGAAATTGTTCTGTCAAAGATTACATTAATTTAAGTTGCCATTATTTGCAACTTACAGTGGAGAAAATCAGCTGTAGGTGTACACTTGACTCCAATACAATTTCAAAGCCGGATAGTTTATTTTGTTCATTCATGTGATGTGAATGGTACTGGTGAGTCTCTATGTTCCATTGCTGGTTGCCCTGGAGAATGTGATGGTGAGCTGCCTCTTGGACTGTGACAATTCTTGGGGAGTAGGGACAGCCACAATGCTGTGAGCAATTAAATTCCAGGATTTTGTGCCCGGCTGTACATTGTTCCCTATAAAAATAGTGGCACACACTCGTCTCTCGGAAAGGTGCCCCTATTAAAGATGGCAGCAATAACTCGAGCCTGTCACTGTCTGAGGCCTGTAGCTGTTTTCCCATTTTCTGCAAATATGGAACCGGAAGTATCTAATTCATGTCTAGCAGCCTAAACCATTCATCATATACTCTCTTGCCTTGTCAATCCCATTAAATTGCATCACCTAACACTTTTCAAGATTAAAATCCATTTCCCACTGTTCAAGCCCATCCGACCAGCCCTGCTGTATCATCCTGTAGTCTAAGACTTTCCTGGCAGAACCCAAAGTGGGAATCAGTAACAGCTTACTGCTGAGTTAACACTGCTTCATCATATGCCCATAACACGTCCCACCAGTTTACTGATAACTGGCATTTGATTGATGGCACAGCAGTTGGTCAGATTGGATTTATCCTGTTTTGTGTCAGGACAAAAAATAAATCTGGGCAATTTTCCATATGTTTGGAAAGATATCATTGTTGTGACTGTACTGGGTTAACCACTCTGTGAGACAGGTTTACATTTTTGACTTAAAGATGACAAGGATTTTGAGAAGATAAGTTTTGAAACAGTGGCACGAACAAAAATCTGATCAAAGGAATTCAAACGTGGAGTTCTGGGTATGACAAGTAGGGATTCAGGAAATCAGAAAACATTCAAGGACAACGGAGGGGAAAGGGACATTGGAGACAGGGCAATAGTTTACAGTAGAGGCATTGATATGTTTTTGACAGATGTGTTAAGGGCACAGTGGACGGGACTGGGTGGTGGTGGTGAGTGAAGAGAGAGAGGCAGAGACAAGATTTGATGAGACACAGCCATCAACAAAATTAGCAAATGTGTGAAGATGGTGGGAATAAGTTTGAAGAAGCAGGAGGTTCCCCTGACCGATTGAGCAATAAGTGAAAATATGGGGAGATGGG